AGAGTGCTGTTTTTTTTTTTCTCCAAAAATTACCATGATTACAAATGTGACATTGAACTCGATAAACAATACGTTAATTAAGACACTTACGTGTTAGACACCATATTGCTTGTTTTTGCTCTATTTCGCCAACAAAAATCATTCCGAATACAGCCACAGCGCTGTTTTGTGTCTCTGAGCAACACGACGGTGTTTCGTTCTTGAACGAATCAACCGTTTAAATGATTTGGTTATTTATGCATTTATAATTGCAGGTTAAATGCATTCATGTCTTGCATTAAACAAAATACATGTGTGTAAATGCATCTAAATGCCACTTCAGATGCAGCTTCTGTGTTGATTTAATTTGCTTGGTAACAGCCCAAATGTCTTATTATTCTAATTCCCTGATTAAATGTAAGAATTTGACTCAAAAGATAATGGACACTTTTAGAAAAAATGGCTTTATAAAGGTAAAAATGCCTTATTGGAACTTATTGGAAAAGTTGAATTTCTATCAGTATGAACTGACCACCACACAGAATATGAAGAATATTAAAAACATTAGGAGTCAGCTGTCTTTGGCAGTCCTTAAGGTACCAGCACAATAACTCACTCAGCAAAATATCGTCTAATTATCGTTGTCGATAAAATCCCAGAAAATATCGAGATATAATTTTTTGTCTATCGCACACCCCTAGTAGGCGCCAAAGCTTTTGTGGATTCGCTCACCTGAAAACCATTGTTTGGCACATTTTTGGACAGTTGCATGCATATACCTGACATTTTATGTAAGCTTCATACCTCAAATAAAAGGGAATATTTAAATTAACATTAACACTCAAGGACAGTGGCAGGTCTTCTCTGCATTTACATGCCAAGGCTTTTATTTTAATGTTGAATCATCTACTTGTTCACTTCAACTAGATTGTAGACAAAGCCCTTGAAGAGCCGAAGTATAGCTCGCTATATGCTCAGCTATGTCTGCGTTTGGCAGAGGATGCTCCAAACTTTGACGGCCCATCAACAGAGATCCAGTCATCACAAAAGCAGAGCACTGTAAGAATTTCCTCTTTATTCATTTGCAAGAAGCTTAACAGCACAGTGTACTGTGTTGGTGTATTTATGCCACTATTTCTCCTACAGACATTCAGGAGACTTCTGATATCCAAACTTCAGGATGAATTTGAAAACCGCACCAGAAATGTTGACCGTAAGTAGACCTTGGACGTGCTAACATTATTACAACAACTATACTGAATTGCCTGATATTTTACTTAAGATTTTTTTTTTTTTCTAACAGTCTATGATAAAAATGACAGCCCTCTCACCTCTGAGGAGGAGGAGCAGCGTGCCATTGCCAAGATCAAAATGCTGGGCAACATCAAATTCATTGGAGAACTTGGCAAACTCGATCTCATTCATGAGTCTATCCTTCATAAATGCATCAAAACAGTGAGTTATTCATAAATCCTCCATTGAAATATTCATGTCGGCTACTTGATTTCCAACCTAATGTTGTTGCATTTGAACTCTCCTAATTGTAGCTTCTGGAAAAGAAGAAAAGAGTCCAACTTAAGGATATGGGGGAGGATTTGGAGTGCCTCTGTCAGATAATGAGAACTGTGGGGCCAAGACTAGATCATGAGAAAGCCAAGGTAAGCTGCTTTAAGACTAGCAGGACTTTGGGTGCATTAAGACGGTGGTATTTCCTAACACCCCTTTGTCTCGCAGTCTTTAATGGATCAGTACTTCGGCCGTATGCGATCCTTAATGAACAACAAGGACTTGCCTGCTAGGATTCGTTTCCTGCTTCAGGATACCGTGGAGTTGCGAGATAACAACTGGGTGCCTCGGAAAGCTTTTATTGATAATGGACCGAAGACTATCAACCAGATCCGTCAGGATGCAGTAAAGGTGAGACCCCGCCAGTTAATGATTATGGATTTGCAGCATAAACATTAAGTGTTTGAATGCATTAATATTGTACCTGCAAACTCATCGCCTTTCTGTGAAATATGCCGTTTTGACATTTGAAATGGGCCATTCACATGACTTTTACAAATCCGGGGACTTTTTATTTGGAATGGTGCGAGTTATGTGATTGTACGTCTGAAGGGAACTGTTTTCTGAGAAACTGATTTTGTTTTCCTCTGACGTATATTGAAATATGGAACCAAAATTAAGGAATTTTCATCAGATGATTTTGAATAGCTATGTATGGAAAGAATTAATTTTAAAGTTAGTGGGGTGATTTGACTGGGGAGTGCATCCTGCGTTAAAAAAATTGTATTTAAAAAAATCGCTCTCGCCCTCTCTGAAGATTTAAATATTAATCTAAAATTAATTTTAATAAATTTAAATGTGATAAATTTATTAAAAAAAAAAAATAGTGTACAATTTAGTGCTAAATGATTTGGGAGAAACTTAAATTGGGGTGTTCATACTTGGATTTTACATTTTATTAAGAACTGACCTTTTCAGAAGTCTCTTTCCACTTGAGTTTTCATAGGCAATATTTCCCACTGTAGTTGGCCAATTCAGTATTACTATAACTTGTGATTTATGAAATAAAAATATTAAATGTATCAAAAAAAATAATGTTTTTACAGTAAATTACAATAGCAATATGTCTTTATTTCATTTTCGAATGAAAATTGGACTCGGCCTAAAGCAGTGTGTTTGTTTACACGTATACAGCCCATAATACCATAATTTAATTACATGTTGCATATGCCTTTTTGCGATTATTGATTTTTATTTCAATACATTGTAGAGACCTGTGAGTTTTAGAGGGGTTTTTTCCCCCTCCAATACTGAACTGTTAGTTGAACTGTGAGGTCATTTAAATCAGTTTTTACAGTCATTTTGCAGTTCAGAATATTACCATAAACATTGCTGTTTCAAGTCAACATTGCTTCCTAAATATGTAGTTCTAATATCAGAATTTTCCCAAATTTTTCTTTGTTCCTCACAGGATTTGGGTGGTTTTATTCCACCAATGACTCAAGGAATTAGGACGGACTTCTTTCAAGAAAGTCCTTTCTTGCCGGCGAGAATTAAACCTGATCGAGAAACTCTCGGGGGATTAGCGGATATGTTTGGGCAGATGCCAGGTATGTCCTGAAGTGCGTTGGCATTTCTGGGACAGGTGGTGCATGACTGGATGTACTCTATGGTTCACTGCCAGCTTAATAACTCTGTTGTCTGGTTGTAGGCATTGGGATTGGTACTGGCCCTGGGGTCATTCAGGACAGGTATTCCCCCACCTTGGGCCGTCGCACAAACCCTCTTTTCAATGGGCACAGTGCCCACATGGCTCCTGCACCTCAGCCTTTCATGAAATCCAACCAGGTAAATGCCCAACTACCAAATAACTAATGCTTCAAGACATCAATATATTAGTCCAATTTACAAGTGTATTGTTGTTGTTGTTTTTTTCTTCTGGTTTCATCAAAGGGCCAGAATCCGCTTTTCCAGAACCAGACTCATTCATCTCAGCAGCAAGCTCAGTCCAAGGATATGGCGCCACGTTTTATCAAGAAAGGACAGCTGAATGCTGATGAGGTATTAAAAAAAAAATATATATATATATATATATTTATTTTATTTATTTATTTTCAAATGATAAACATGTATCATTGTCATACACCAATATCAGTACAAGTCTGTACTGGGGGAAAAAATGCTATTGAAGACCACACACAGTTTGTATTCTGTGTAGTCTGTGCTTAATTTGCAGGAAAATGTTTTTGATCTGGTAGGATTAATGACTAAAAGGATTTTTCTCGTCCTGTTTCAGATTAGCTTGAGACCTGCTCAGTCATTCATTTTGATCAAAAACCAAATGCCAAAGTTGCAGCCGCAGATACCTACCATGATTCCGCCAAGTGCTCAACCTCCACGCACATCCACACCTCCGCTGGGACAGGTAATGAGTACTGTAGTTCATGCATAGGAACAAAATGGGGTTTTTTTTTGTTTTTTTGGGGGGGGGGGTGGTTTTTAAGGTGCATTTAATGCTTTCTGTTGTTTATAGCCACCGCAACTTGGCCTGAAAACCAACCCACCTCCAATTCAGGAGAAGCCACAGAAGACAACTAAGAAGCCACCTCCTGCTAAGGAGGAACTGCTTAAGATGACTGTACGTACCATTCAATGTCTTATTGCTGAAAAGGGTTCACAGAAACTTTTGAGTGAGGTGTTCCTTGAATTTGCTTGCAGGAGAATGTTGTGACCGCTTACTTGAGCAGCAAAAACATGAACGATGCGGTGAATGGGGTGCGAGAGATGAAAGCTCCCAAACACTTCCTGCCTGAGATGTTGAGTAAGATGATCATGTGCTCACTGGAGAGCCCAGATGAGGACCGAGAGCATGTCAGTACTCTGATCAACACGCTCCGCATGGAGGGGCTGGTCACAGGGGAGAACTTTATGCAGGTTTGTATACACCAGTGAAATTCACCCTCACAGCATCTTGACTGAAACTGGAACTCAACGTTTCCTCAAATTACTTGTTTTTACAGGCTTTCCTCAATGTTCTGGACCAGTGTCCCAAGATCGAGTTGGATATTCCCTTGGTGAAGTCTTACCTTGCTCAGTTTGCTGCCCGGGCGATCATTGCTGAACTTGTGAGCATGGCAGAGTTGGCCCACCCTCTGGAGAACGGCACCCACTTTCCTCTTTTCCTCCTCTGCTTGCAGCAAATGACCAAAATGAAAGATCGGGAGTGGTTGACCGACCTCTTCCAGCAGAGCAAGGTCAACATGCAGAAGATGCTGCCAGGTATGTGCGACCGTTTCCTCCCTGTATGGTCATACTTGTGTGCCTCTTCAATTTTTTAGAAATTAAGTAAATCAACTTGAATGGGACATCAGATGAAGGTTTCACTTTTCTTTTCTTTTTTTTGGCGTGTCTGCCAGCTCAGAAAAGCTGAAAAAACATGAAGCCAATTTGTTTTGTACTGTCCGAGTCCCGAGTGGGACTAATTTGCTGCCGGTTTCTTCATGGTGAGCTAGCTATTTGAAAAATACCACCTCCGAGCAGTCTGTAGAATCCAAGGCAGCAATTCATGTCTTGTTTCAACACGCCCCACGGAAGAGAGGGGTGGGGTGAACAGTAGCTCATTATCATTTAAAGAGACCTGCATGAAACCGGTCGCTGTGAACGGAGCTGTTTTTGACAAGGTAAAAAGGCTGTTGTTTTTACACAACCATTGAGGAATTTTAAGCAAAGTATGTTACAGACATTTCATGAAGATCTTAAAGAATCATACCACCCCTTTAACATTAGTATGTAATTATGCCTTTAGAATGGTAACAGGGTTGATGCTTCTACAGTTTACTTTGACTTGTAGGAGTTATAAAACAACTTTAGAGAATCTAATGCTGACGTTTTCAGTTTTATCCACTTCGTTTCAGTTGTTTACTATCCAAAATCATGGTAACAGGGTTGACATTTTCAGTTGGCAAAATTTAGAAGTTCAAAATTCAGTTGGCTGATCTGTTAAATAACGTTAACAAATCCAGTCACTTTATAAAGAAAAATATATGAATTTTGTATTGTGTATTGACTGGTGTTCATTTCCAATATTCTTGTCTCTACCCACAGAAATAGATCAAAACAAAGATCGTATGTTGGAGATTCTGGAGGGGAAGGGCCTGAGCTTCTTATTCCCTCTGATGAAGCTGGAGAAGGAGCTTCTGAAACAAATTAAAGCAGATCCTGCCCCGCAAACCATCTACAAGTGGATCAAGGACAACATTTCTCCAAAACTGCACACTGATAAGGGTTTCGTTAACATTCTTATGACCAGGTATGAAGATGGACATGCTGGCCCGAATGTATCTTGTTAATTGGTTTGAAGGTTTACTCTATGGACCCTTGGTTAACCCTCCCAAAATTCTTCTAGCTTTTTGCAGTACATTATCCATGAGATCTATACCACTGAAGATGATGACCAATTATCTGCACCTACGAAAGAGCAGCTTGACCAGGAAAAACAGTTGCTACTTGCCTTCAAACCGGTGATGCAAAAATTCCTGCATGATCACGTGGACCTGCAAGTCAGTGCACTCTACACACTGCAAGTCCACTGCAACGCCCATGCTTTTCCCAAAGGTACGGCTAAAAATGTTCTGACTGAGTTATGATAACTACCCCAGACTTGAAGGAATGCATGTTTGTTTGTTTATCTTTTAGTTCTTTTTTTTTTTCTTAAAATAATAGTACTAATCCCCTCCCATATTATTTTATAATAATATGATGATGATATTTTAATAATGCGGAAAGTCATGGAAATTCATTGGTCTAAAGGTGTGGAAGCCTTGAAGTTTGTTTACCGAGACAGACATTGAGGAAATTTGTGTTTTCCTGTCTTTAATGGTCTCTTATCTCTTTAGGAATGTTACTGCGCTACTTTGTGAACTTCTATGATATGGAGATAATTGAAGAAGAGGCCTTCCTAGCATGGAAAGAAGATATTACCCAGGAGTTTCCAGGGAAGGGAAAAGCATTGTTCCAGGTAATTATCCTACTGCATTAAACAGTGACTCACCTTTTCTTTGAAAAACACAAATATGCATATTGTTTTTTCTTTTTCTTGTCGTTCAGGTGAACCAGTGGCTCACCTGGCTGGAGACCGCGGAAGAGGAAGAGTCTGAGGAGGAAGCTGACTAAAGAACCAGCCAAAGCCTTGATGTACTCGCCTCTGTCATCACTCCAGTTTCGTTTCACCATCTTTTTTTTTTTTTCACCTGAATCAACCACAGCAGTTCATTCCATGCTGCTTTCTGCAGTGTTGAGCCAACGTATTATTCACGCTTCTCTTTGGCCTCATTGTTTATTAAAGCATGTAATGACTAGCATCTGTTCAGAACCACCACAGATAAATGGTATTAGCAACTTGAAACCGCATCTTTTTATATATATAATTTATTTTTTTTTGCTTTTAAAAACATGTATTTGCCAGAGCCTTTTCTGTTGCTGTTCATTTCAGCACAAAACTATAGAAATGCACTTTTGCTCGGTGTCATATTTTGAGTTGCTGCAATATTCAGTTTTGTTTGTATGTTACAAAGAATCCTCAGTAGTCATTGGTTACCATAACGTTTAGTCGATGCTATGTTCATACCTCACAGTAGTGTGTGTGTGTGTGTGTGTGTGTGTGTGGAGTTCAGAGCTTGACAGGTGCACTAGAGCTCGGGTGCACTGATAATTGCTCTCCAGGTGAGAGAGAAACCTTCCTTTAGCATCATTAATCAACTGAATACATTACAATCAAACCAGCATAATTAAGAAGCTAAATTAATTAGAGCAGAAATGGATGCACAAGTGCAAAATATTGCTTTTCCGCTTCCACGCCCCCCCCCCCCCCCCCCCCTTATTTCTTATAATAATGAACAAAGCCATGTGGGAGAGATGAAATTATGCAGCCTTTTTCCCAACCCATAAGCACCCCCCACCCCCAACTACTTGTCAAGCTGATACTTGAATTTTTTTTTCTTTACAGCATGTTCAGGGATTACCAAACACAGCCTGTTTAGATGCAGCAATTTGATCCAAACAGAAATGTGTAATTTTTTTTAATGCATTTTAATTGGTAAAATAAAGATTAAATGAGATGAGAAATTTGGTATGGATGTTCAATATACAAATCACTGTTTTACAACCTAACAATGTTTTCCCATGATGGATATTATATTTATTTAATCATGAGGGGGAAATCATAGCTTTATCATTAGGTAGGACAACAAATAATGACCTGCTCGTGTGGTTTTGCTATTTAAAGTGTCACTGTAAGGTGCAAGAGCTCCGAATGTTCAGAGTGCCACTGTTGCTTTCAATAAAGTTACACACCAGCATTTATTTGGCCTTATTTCATGTGTGCTTTGGCATAAATGTGATCCAAAGAATATGTCATCAGACTCGTATTTACTGAAGGTCGTCATCCAGTACGAATGAACAATGCTGGATTTTATTTTATTTTTTTATATTTAACCTGAATCATATTTATGACTGATAACACTACTGCTTACACTTGCTCCGTGTTCAGTTTCTCTTTTTTTTTTTTTTGTTACTCAAGTTGTGTTTTGGAACATTCCTGAGCTCTTTTTTTTCTGAATATCAGTTGAATTCACTCGGTCACTACTTGTGTGCTCTTTGAGTTGTGGTTGGCACTGAATGATGACATCGGAAATGTAAAAATCATGCAGTGATTTGTAAATGTTTCTTACTATTCAGGAACAAAAACAATGCTTAAAATCCTTGAACTGAAATTAAATATAAGAAAATGCTTTGGTTTTAAGTCTGAATATAATGTAGTGGTATATGAGATGCCCCATAAATGATGCTTCGTAATGTAATTTTTTAAAATGTTCATTTTTATCTTGTTTTTAAGTAGTTCCTATATATCTCATTCATATTGTGCAATGCTTTCCTTAGGTAGGCTGTTATTGTATTATTGATACCATGTTGGAAACATTTTCTAATAAAGTATGAAAAAAAAAGTCACATTTGCATATTAAGTAATTGCATCTACACTACTGTTCAAAAAAAAAATTTCAGAAATTAATTTTATTACGTACACCTAATAAATGTATATCTATATACACACTCGCCGGCCACTTTAGTAGGTGCAACTGTTCAACTGCTCGTTAACATAAATATCTTGCAGCATGCATTTGGGCTTGTAGAGGTGGTCAATACTATCTGCTGAAGTTCAAACCGAGCATCAGAATGGAAAGGTAATTTAAGACTCTGAACGTGGAATGGTTGTTTGTGCCAGACGGGCTGGTCTGAGTATTCCAGAAACTGCTGATCTACTGGGGTTTACAGAGAATGGTCCTAAAAAGATCAACTATCCAGCGAGTGGCAGTTCTGTGGCTGAAAATGCCTTGTTGATGCCAGAGGTCAGAGGATAATGACCAAACTGGTTCGAGCTGATAAAAAGGCAACAGCAACTCAAAATAACCAGTCATTCTTCTGAGGATTTCATCCTGGAACCTAACATAACAGCAGTACCGTTGACTAGTACGTGGAGGTATGTGTGAGTGGAGGTAGGGTATTCCTCCCCAGGCCCAGACTGTCACTGACCCGCTGCCAAAACAGTCATGCTGGATGATGTTGCAGGCAGCATAATATTCCCCATGGCATCTCCAGACGTCTGTCACAGGTGCTCAGTGTGAACCTGCTCTCATCCGTGAAAAGAACAGGGCACCAATGGTGGGCAATTCTGGTGTTCTGGCAAAAGTCAATCAAGCTGCACGGTCCTGGGCTGTGAGCACAGGTCTCGCTGCCCTCATGGAGTCTGTTTCTGACAGTTTTGTCAGAAATATGCATACCAGAAGCCTGCTGGAGAGCTTTGGCAGTGTTCCTCCCGTACCTCTAAGGAGGAGATATCAGGAGACGGGTCTGGCTATAGACATGCACTTGCATTTTCAGACTTGCACTCTCAGACACCTGCACTTCCGCGAGTGACGTCACGTTTTTAATTTAATTTAATTGATTAATAATTTTTTTTTTATTGAATCTCTCAACATTTTACACAAGTAGCCAGGTGGTGAAGACAAGAAAAAAAGAAACTAAGTCACTTGCAATCGCCGCTTGCACTCTCAGCTACTTGCAACTCACAGACATGCACTTGCATTTTCAGACTTGCACTCTCAGACACCTGCACTTCCGCGAGTGACGTCACGTTTTTAATTTAATTTAATTGATTAATAATTTTTTTTTTTATTGAATCTCTCAACATTTTACACAAGTAGCCAGGTGAAGACAAGAAAAAAAGAAACTAAGTCACTTGCAATCGCCGCTTGCACTCTCAGCTACTTGCAACTCACACGAATCGTGCTTGTTGCCAATGTAGACAAGATGCTGTGGTGGTTAAATGATTCAAACTAATTTAGTACTATAACATACAGGGTCCTGCAAGTCGTCTGTAGGAGAAAACGACAAGACCCCGTGGCCACAGAACAGCAGAATATGAATGCAATGCGCAAAGTCTCTCATTAAGCGCTTTTAAACCTCCCGTAGAAAACCATACACTTAATATGGCTTAATGTGTTAAGATAGTGCTACTAAAAGATCATATTCGATATATAGTTTATTCATTTAATGTACTAGGCTACTACAAAGCAAGCATATGCTCATGAACACAACAAGCAAACTTAGATGATAAAGACCAAATTCAGTATTTCTTATCGTTGATGCAAACTACACAGACCATATGAACACGCATTAAGAAATTAATTAAGTGATATTAAATGAACCAACTCTATTCTGGTCTCACCTGCTTATCTGTACATATTAATTGTGTTTTAATAATGAAGAGGAGCATATGAGGTCTTTATAATCTTAGACTGTTATGCCACATTATGCCAACTTTTGCGGTAAGGGAGGAAAACACTATATACATACATTACATTAATAAACTTAATTTGATCTTTTAATAGCACTATCTTAATACATTAAGCCATAGCCTATTAAGTGTTTATGGTTTTCTACGCA